AGTGTTTGAAAAAGATGTACTTCAAAGTTTTATTGCGTAAATCTGTGAATATACTTCAAATTTGCTCTGGAGAAATATCTTGTTTTCTTAATTACATGTTGGTTTTAAATAGTTTTCAAGTGCTATTTTCATTTTTCTTAGAACATTTTTGTGAACTATCTGATAATCTTTTAATCATTGAATCTCAGCTCGGAAAGCAAATGGTATCCTGGGCTCCATCAGCCAGCAGGGACAGGGAGGTGATTGTCCCTCTCTACTCGGCCCTCATGAGGCCCCATCTGGAGTAATGTGTCCAGGTCTGGAGCCCCCAGTACAAGAAAGAGAGCTGTTGGAGAGGGTCCAGAGGAGAGCCATGAAGATGATCAGGGGAGTGGAGCACCTCCCCCTACAAAGACAGGCTGAGGGAGCTGGGCTTGTTCAGCCTGGAGAAAAGAAGGCTGCGGGGTGACCTGATTGTAGCCTTTCAGTACCTAAAGGGAGCCTACAAACAGGAGGGGAATCAACTCTTTGAAAGGGTTGATAACTGCAGCACAAGGGGAAATGGTTTTGAGTTGAGGGAGGGAAGATTTAGGTTGGATGTCAGGGGGAAATTCTTTACAGAAATTGGTGAGGCACTGGAACAGGCTGCCCAGAGAGATTGTGGATGCCCTGTCCCTGGAGGTATTCAGGGCCAGATTGGATAGGGCCCGGGCAGCCTGGTCTAATATTAAATGTGGAGGTTGGTGGCCCTGCCTGTGGAAGGGGTTTGGAGTTAATGATCCTTGAGGTCCCTTCCAACCCTCTGATTCTGTGATTCTGTGAATGAAGAAATTTAACTACCCTACATGAGAAAAAAGAAAAGCCACAACATAATGACCTAACTACTAATGTAAAAATCAGCATGAAGTGTAAGTCTCCTACAGCGGCACAGATTGTTATCTAGTTTGTTGCAAGAGAACTGAATGATTGAAGTGTTTAGGAAAGTCTACAAATCTAGCAAGGATGCCAGTTTATGATTATGTTTTATATCTGTTTTTATTATTAAGTCTGTGTAATGTCAGTGGCATGTACAGATTTGCTTAAATCCTGTCAAGAAGTTTTCTTGTCTTCTGATACCATAAGAGAAATTGTGCATGTTTCAGAAAACTACAAAACCCAAATTTTGGTTGTTTTGAAATTATGTAGCATAAAGCATGTTAAGTATGATTATTTGTGGGATGTGGAGTACAGAGTATAGCTCCACTGTATCAAAGTGTGCATCCTGAATATTTCATTTTTGTGAATTTTCATTTTCTTCTCCTGTTTCAGTTTTTATTTTTTCTCATTTAAACTGTCCTTAAGTAATACCCAGCATGCATATTCAGCCTCTTCCTTGCTAAAGTAAATGCTTTTCCCTCTTCTTTCTCTGCTTGCTAAAGAAAAGATGACAAAAGCCTCACTGTAAGCCAACTGTGATTTTAATAGTAATCTTAAGCATGTTTTCAAAGTCAACTGACATTAGAGAATTAACCACATTTTAGCCTGCGACGTCTGTAATGTGTGCCTAAAAGCTTCCAAAGTTCAGAGACAATTCACTAGGAATTTCCACTGTCACATATTGAAGTCCATTATTAGCGGAGCTTCCTTTTTCAAACAAATGTTTTGAAGCTCTAAACATCACTTGTAAGATTATTCTGTTTAAGTTGGCTAAATTAACCAGTAAGTTTGTTCTGAAACTGTTATTTTTCACTGTAGGAAACTATATAATCCAGTAATAAGCTCAACGCTGGAAAATCATTTTGTGAAAAAATGTATTTGGTTGTTCACTAGTAATAAATATGACTTAAATCTTGCCTTGGTTATTAGAGCCAATAGTGGCTCTTTGAGAACTTAGAAGTTCCAGAGTAATAGTAACTGACCGATACTTTAAGATGTGAAGAAATTAACAATTTAGATAGTTCTAATAAAAAAAAGAGTAGATTATAAATTCATTGAAGAGTAACTGTATATATTGTATTTTATTGTTTTTATATCTTATGTTACTTTGCAGTAAATTAATGTTTTGTTTGCGTAGCGAATACCTAAGGTCTTAATTACAGAAATTGACATAATCATAGAATCACAGAATGGCATGGTTGGAAGGGAACTGAAAGTTCACTCAGTTCAAACAAACACTCCTGTGGGAACAGTTGCCTCCAGCTCAGGGGTATCCAGGACCCTGTGCAACCTGGTCCTGAACACCTCAAGGGATGAGGCATCCACAGCTTCTCTAGGCAGCCTGTGCCAGTGCCTCAGTACCCACCTCCTAACATTTAACCTAAATCTACCCTTTCCATTTATATCCATTCCTCCTTGTGCTATCACTATCAGACCATATTAAAAATTCAGACACCTTCCTCTGTATAAACATCCTTCAAGTACTGGAATGCTACAATGAGGTTGCAGCCTTAAACAAGGACTGTATTTTTCTGATCTGAAGGCATATAAGTTCTTGGTTTTCATAAAGTGGAAGGTAAAATTCAGTTGTAGTTTATGAAATGGAAGGTGTTTGATGCAACACTGTTGAGTGTTTACACTATTTAATTCTACTTGTAGGAATGAAGCTTAAAACTTTTATAGCAAGATCTATCTTCTGTTTAGGAAATGATCTGAAATTTTGAAGAGTGGCATTCAGTACAGTACTCTCAGATCACGTTCTCATTTGTTTGTTATAATTCTTCTATTTTGTATTTGAAAACTGACATAATTTAAATTGTTCCTAATTTAAGTGTGAAAAAAATAAACCCTTTTGTACTTTTTAAAATCAGTCTCTTCCTTTCTGGATTACTGACTTGACTCTCCTCTGTTGTTTCAAGATATCATTGGAAACTATGTCTCAAAACCAAAGTTTTAGATTAGATTACACCATCATGCTGGCATCTGTTACTCCTTAAAGGAATATTTTAGGATAGAAGAATCTATCCGAAAGAAAATAAATTACACAGATGCTGAAGTTTATGTCACAGTAAGATGAAGGTTGTCTTGGCAGTAACTCAAGCTAGCTGAGTAGAAATTTTCTTAAAGTGAGAATGAAGTTTATTTCCAATAAGGAAGGTTATTTAATGTTTTGTTGTTTTGTTTTTCCTCACCTTTCCTAATTATACAATGTGCATACATCTCAGAATTTAAAAAAAAAAAAATTACACTTTGTGATTTGATAGCTCTAGGATACACATGCATGTTCTGTGTTATTTAAACTAGTATTTTCTTCATTCTATGCTACTTGAGTGAGGCATTTCATTGTTAGTGCAGTGTACCCATGGCATTTTTATTTGAATTTATCCTCTAATATTTTTGGAGCTTGAATATAGAAATACCATTGTAATGGTCTTTATGCTTCAGATCAACAAGCTAGTCCTAAGTTTGTCAGGCATCATTTGAAGTTCAAGTCCATCATATAGTGACCTGGTCCTCTTTTTCCAGCCCTGTTAGAAAAGATTTGGAGGAGCTGTGGGATACTGACGAAGAAGTACGAAATAATAATTAAATGTCTTCTTGCATTTTAAAAGGGCATTTTACATTTCGAAAGGGATTCTTTCCACCAACAACTCTCTTTTCCAGATGCTCTCTTTTCCTTTCTAGTTAGCTGTGTTTGTTCTTGCAAATAGGAAATATTTTTGATCAGAGAAATTCTGCGATAAAAATACACAAACATACAGCTTCAAGGGAATTCATCCTATTTGTATGAAGATTATATTTGAGTTATGCTAGATTTAAATCTTAGCCAAAAAACGTGTGTGACTAAGGATCACATCTTTAATTGCAACATAAGGGTATTTAAGCATCACAGTGTTTATGGTACGTTTGAAACTGGCATTTACAGAAATTTTAATAATGAGTGTCACAGATCTTTTGCTTGTTGTATCTGAACAATTATATTTACCATCGAGTAGCTGAGATTCTTTTCAAAGGACCCTTTTAGGTAAATGTTACCTGAAAAGTTGCTTTCTGTAAGAAATCTGGTGATTTAGTAGCTCAAGTTATTTATCTAGGGACTAAATATTAGTGAAACAAAACACTGTGTTGCTTCTACACAAGTTTTATAGGATACACATACTTAGGCAAAAAGTCATGTTTTTTTTAATTACTAGAAAAGACTGAGATAATAGAGAGAAAGATGAATCTGAGCCATTATAATTTTTAGTTCAGTATTGTACTTTGCTAATTTTTTAGTTTATCCAGTATTTCACTGCACATGTTTTTATAGCAGCTTTTGTCTCATTCATTTCATTTTTTTTCATTCTGGTCTTCATTACACTCAATGTATCAAATGGAAAAAAAGCAGTTCTATATGATATTGTATATATTTGTTGAAGATGATTTGCTAGTTATTCTTTTAAGTATATGCAATGCAACTTATAAATTAAGATAACTCGGAAATAAGAGATTTTATTTGTAGATTTATGTAAACAAATATATTTAAAAGGATGATCACATACTGTAAATTTACTTCCTTTTTTTATGACATGTTATAAACTTTTTTGAAAACATCAAATGAAGTAAGAGAGAATTTTATTTTAAGGTCAGGATTTTGCCCCTGTGTAGCCATCAGCAGTCATCCAAATATCACAGATTGGAATTGTAGCTTCTTCAGCCTATAAAACAGAAAAACTGACAATTTCTCAATAGCTACAAAACATTAATACAGTGTACCAGTTCAGCTGCTCCAGGAAAAGTGTTCAGGAATAAAGGTAAACTTCTTAATGAAATTTCAGCAGGTTTTGTTTCTGTCTTAACATCAGAGTTTTTCCCTGCTTTCCCTGGCTTTCCAGGTATAATATAATTGACATAAAAAATTTTGGGTTCATGTCTGCTTAGTACAGTGTTTTGTATTTCATTTCATAGAGCAGCAAATCATCTTACTTCCTCAGAAAGTAACACAGCTGAAACGTTTTATGGAAGTCTTCTGTTTGGTATTTCAGAAATAACAAACGTTCTTCAAAATGGTAATAAATCAAAAAGCCAACTGTAATTTGTTTAACCAAATGTATTTCCTTACTCAGAAGAGGAACATGCACCAAATAGTGTTGTTGAAGAATACCGTCAGGAGAAGAGAAAATATGAAGACAAACGAAAGCAGCAGCCCAAGAAAGGAGTTTCCCGTGAAGATCAGGTAATCCTGGGCAATAAGGATTTCAGAGAGTTCTGAAAAATTTTTAATCTTCATTTGATAAAGAATAAAGTTTACAAATCTGTTACAGTTAATTTTCCATAAAAAAGTAAATTATTATTTCTAAACACTAATAAATGTGATTGTGCATGTGTGACAAGGTTTCAGTATGTATTTGAATGTGTTGTCAGTTAAGTCACTAAAATCTTCCAAAAGGAAAAGCTATCCACACAGAAGTATCCTTGATTATATTTACAAGTTTGCATTTCTCTGCAGTTCTGTTCTTGGCTTTGCAACTTCCCATAAAATAGCACTGAGACAGAAATTTGTGTATTTGGTATCTGTCCGAAATGTGAGGCTTTTTTCCACATTTTAAATAATGTTTTATAGAGATCAAATTCAACCATATCTTTGAGTGTTATGAAATGAACAAAACTAATTTTTAACTGAACTTTAAAAACTCATTTTAAGTACAGTTGAAATTATTTTCCATGGTCAGAATGTATGTAAGCTTCAGTATGCAAATATTAGCAAATTTAAGTTTAATGTAAATATTTTTTTCTAAAATAGGGATACTTGAACCTGCTGAATACATGAAACTACTGTGAAGTGCTAAATACCATTCATTTTAAAATTTGTGCTGTGCATCAGACATATAGGTTTTAAAGTGATGGGAATATGTATTTTAGTAGATTATAATTTTTAGTTATGTAGCCCTTTTAAAAACTATTCAACAGTAATTAATCAGCTATTCAGCAAGGAGTCATCAACTCATTTCAACAATTAATAATGAAGTTCTTTAGAATTCAATTTACTTATTGAGGGCCTCTTCTACCCTTACATCCTTCCTACTATATCCTACAATACAATATTATTTTCCAGCTCCTGAGTTCTGCTCAGGAGCTGGAGAGGGTAATGTATATGTCTTTTTTGAATACCAGACAATGGAAATTACCTTGAATTCAACATGAGTCAGTTTTTAAAGATACATGGCCCACAGCATTGCATCCAATCATTCACAGCAGAAAGACTAAGACAGGTCCGTTTAGAATAATGCTGGCACCATAGAAAGTTAAACAGTACATAAGAAATGTGGCTTTAGTTGATCACAGTTTCACGTGAAAAGGATTAATTTGTTTTTATCTATGTCCTGGACAGAGATTTGCTGCCCTAGGTGTTGTGAGCATGAAGTTTGTTTACAATTGCATGAGAAGCTGTAGAATTTGAATGATTCACAGGCACAAGTATATCTGAAAATTTCCTCTCCCAGCTTAAGCAAGATTAAACAGTAAAATAAAAAAAAAATAAAAGAAAAAAAAAAAAAAAAACCCTAAAACCCACCTTTGGCAGTGCTAAAATGTGTTTTTGAAAGAATTCAAAAGCCAGGAAACTCCTAAAGTTAAGATTGCTCCCAGAAGGAAATTTGATTCCAGTGAACACTTCTGGTATTTCCAATTTCTGTTTTCTATTCTTGTTTAGTTTTTATTCTTTTAAATTTGAAAAACTTGACTAAACAAAACTAAACAGCTATACAGAGGTGTTTTACAACATAGGTGGCCAACCTATCACCTACAGATCAAATGCAGTCTGCCACATAAAATTCAGTTAATTCCCTGACTCTTTCCTTTGCAGTAATGTCTCAAATAGCAGCAAGAATTAAGCTGCGGGCTGTGAAGATTTTTCTTATGGTTTGCCCTTTTTATGAAGAGCCCCGTGACCCTTGTGCCATCACAGTGCTTAGGCATACAATTCTTGTGTAATCAACATTACCTCTCAAATGATCAGAAAGAAGACCTGCAGGATGATCTTCAGATGTTACTGCAGATTCAGTGATTTTGTTATAGCTGAAAGACAGGGCAGTGTTATTTGTAAAATAAAATACCAAATATAAATCAGTATGTTTATGGTGTGTGTAATGTTAGGACCTGTGTCGGTCAAATTAGTTAAGATGGTTCTTAGTATTCAGGTAAAAAGCTTTGATTTTGTTACAGTCAGCAAAAAAATTTAAAGGACCAGCATTTAAAATAAAGGAGTATCAGTTAAGCTGTGTCTTCAGTAGTTGAATTGTCTATAATTTATGCAGTGGATTGCCTTAGTAGAAGAAATTAACAGATTCAAATAGTAAAATTTGTTGTCCAGTGGCCAGTATTATCTAATTTATTACCTATTTTATTCTGTAAGTATAGTGTAAGTATCTGTTCCCTAAATACGTGTTTTTATTTTACTAGACAGCTGGACAAGTGCTCTCTTGCATGTGTACTCCCAGCACTGCACACCCTCTCACTTGCTCAACATGCTGTTACTCTTGGCACCCCTCACTCTCACTTGCTTGACACTGCAGTTTTCTTTGAAGTCATAGAAAAGTGCTCTCCCATCTCATCACACTGTTTCCCAAAATAATAGTTTGAAGGTGTTGTATAATACTTGTTCATAAATATATCTGACTTCCTTAAAACTATGTATTTAACTTCAGACACTGGCACTGCTGGACCGATTTAAATCAAAGTTAACCCAAGCAATTGAAGAAACTCCTGAAACTGAGGTTTCTGAATTTGAAGTAGATACTGATGAAGGATGGTAAGTTTTATGGATTTTTATTTGTCTTTTTACTAATAGTCAGGATTGAAAGAGGAGAAGTAACAGTTTTCATTTTTCATTTGTTTTCCAAACCAGTCTCTTTGTTCGGTTTATTGAATCCTTATTCTGTAAGACTTCTTTTACTGACACTTTACTTTTTACAGGTCAGTTAGTTGCTTGCTTCTTTTAGTTATTTCTTCTGGATATCATTATTAGGAAACAAGGTGATATGCTTTCTGTGCCATTTATCTCCAGCAGGAAATAAGTTCTGAAAGGAGTTAGCAGCCTTTTGCCTTGAAATTTACTAATTTCATCACTTCTACATAAACTTCTCTACGTGTTTCTGAAACCCTACATTTCTAAGCTTAAATTTAAAAGCAGCTGAAACACTAAATTAAAAGAGAGTTGATGCAGCAGGTTTCTGCTAGGTTTAGTGCTTCGGAAAATAAAGCAGGACAGTGGGAAATGCTTTGCCACCCATACTGGGGGTTATATTTTAAAGACTGATGGATGAGATAAGGAAGATTCAACTAAGGGGTGGGGAGGGTGACCGCAATAAAGCAGTTGATGAAGCACTGCAGAAGTTTTGACCTCAACACTTTCCAGTCACAGAAGCAGCCTTACCATGTTTATTTATGTCAGTGAAAGAATTCACCTGTAGGTAGGGAAGGAGAAAAATCACTGTGATTTGACTTGTGATCCTGTAATCTTACAGTGTGAGCTGCTAGACGATAATAACAATACGTGCATGAAATAGTTAGAAAAAAATGTTCAACTGGTCATAATTTTTATAAGACAAGTTTTAGGTCTAATAAAATATCTCTGCCTACAATGTTCCTTAGTTATACACGTAAACAGTCATGCTACAACAAAACTAGCTCTGAAAAAGAAAATTTAACTAAGACTTTGGCAGTTGTATTTCTATATCTCCGATAATTTTAAATAAGTGTGTGAAAATATGTATGAAGTATAGCCTTCAGATCTTCATAAAAGCTTCTGTTTTGGAAGAAAACTAGTACAATAATCTATCTTCCCCAAATCCCTAGAATAGCACCAATAACTAAGCACAGAAAAGACTGAACTACAAAAAGGAGAATAAAAGGATGTTCTGTTTTTAAACTGAAAATGGATTACTTTGCTAAACATGATTAAAGTACCCTGTATCTTTTTGAGAAGACTCTTGTAAAACAGTAAGATAGCCATAACTTTAATTAAGGTTTTCTCTCAGATGATAAGACGGGTAATGTTATGAAGAAATGCAGACTGTTATATATTTTTTCTGTAATTCTACAGTTGAAAAAAGATATGTGAGGTAAGTAAGAAAAGAACATAAAAAATAGTGGGAAAGAAGATAATGTATGGAAGGCATTTGTAGTACAGCAGTTAGCATAAAGTTCTTGCAATCATAAAACAACATATTCTCTTATGTAGATCATAATGAGAGCATTTATTTTTTCAGTGCTTCTTTGTGAGTACTATTTTAATCTGTTTTCGTTTTAACAGATAAAGGTGATTAAAGTGCATTTGAGTTACTATATAAGCTATTAAAATAATTTAAAACAATAGCAATTCAAACATGTCACAGCATATCATTTTACTTCTTATTTTACTGATTATATACTTTGTTTAGAATACTTTTATTTTACGTAAGAACTGAGGATTTCTTTTCGTTTTAGAACCTAAGCAAACTAAGTTCAGATTCAATTTCTGAAGTTTTCTTTTCAGTTTTCATGCTAACTCCATTACCTGAAATGAAGAACTATGCTTTCTTTAATTATATTATTCAAAAGATAAATTAGAGCAAAAGGATTTTTGCTTCATATTCTCTTTGAGAGTAGAGAATTTCCTATATTAGGATAAATCTCATTACCTGCTGCTTGCTATTATTTTAAGTTTTCTCTGGTTACCATCTATTTGGTAGATCTTTAAACCATATAGTCTTTCATCACTATGTCGTCTTCTGTCTCAGACATTATGCAGCTCTTTGAGGGTAAGGAAGAGCATACAGCGTAAATTTTTAGTCCCTAAGTTTTGAGGATTTCACTAGGACTTGGAGATTCTTCTGGGGTACTGATGTGCTTTTAAGCTCTCCAGAAAATATGCAGCCATATCTTTATCTCCAGGTGTAGACTTTTAAGGGCTTACAGAGTCTTTCATGTTTCCTGTTGAGTATTTACTAATATCTAATTCGTGATAATTCTTCACCCGATATATAATCTATACAGTACGAAAAGGCTGTTGCAATTTGAGATTATGAAATTGCTTATATTTTTGTTCCAAAAAATGACATTGTTCTGAAAACAACATTGCACTGAAATAAAGACTTAGAATGATATAAAGCTATGATGTAAAGAATGAGATAAAGAATGATATAAAGGTAATAGTGTAATAATCAATGCTCATAATATTAATTTCACAGTTCAGTAAAGGTTCTTATTGCCTTTACAGAGAAATGAGTCTTGCTACAATTTCGAAGAATTTACTTCAAAGCGAAATAAATTATAAAATATTCATATTACATAAATTGGCTATAACCATATACAACATTAGAAAAGCAGTGAAGTTTTCTAAATATCATTCAACTTCAGACTGTTTAGATGGCTTTGAGAGTTGAATTTTGCATTTGGGGATAAAGGCTTGTGTTTTCATTGTCTTCATTGAATTGGATTATTTGAGATAACTATGGTGACTTCACTTTTAAAAATACTTTCTTAATTCCAATCTGCTCTTACAAAGACAGTTATTCTACTAAAAAAAAACAAACATTCTATTTTGCATTATTTATGATAAATGTAATTAGTGCATGGCATATGCATGTATGATATGCACAAATTATGTGATTCCTTCAGCTCGTTTTGTAGGTCATGGCTGCTGTTTTTATGGGAAGTGAAAGCTAGCCAATATGTGCTGCTCTACTGTCAGTGTGTGTTATCTGAGGTAGAACGATTGCCTCTGTGACATTTTTATGTGTCCACATGAGTGGCCACACATTGAGGTATAATTTTCATTTTCTGTCAAGATAGAAACCATTACGAATTTGTTATGTTTTCTTTTATTTGGCAAACTTTTCTCTGCATATTTGGCTGAGCTGCTGTATTGGCATGAAGCATAGCAGACATTTGGGTACTTTTCAGCAGCATTCTACTTTTTATGCAGGAGAAAAAGAAGAAAGAAATATGACTCTTTTGTAAACAGTGTGTATGATGTTTGATAATTATTACCAGATTTTACTGTCTAAGAAGCCATCTGAGGAAGTGCTGTGAAGAGATCTGAAATGTGTAATATATATGAAATAGAAAGATCTCTGCTGAGACATTCAACTGCAAACTCTGCTGCTAAGTGAGAACGATTGTATCTATCTGTCTGCAGCAAACAAAATCTAATTTCCCCCAGAAATCAAAACTGTCAGAATAAACAGAGTATGCACTACCAGAAACATAACAGTAAAAATGTCTGCAAACAAGTGGACAGATGCATTTTTGTGGCATCTAGGTACCTCAGGAGGACACACTTGTTCATCCTGGTATTACTGTCTTATGGCTCCATATTGAAAACTATTGTTTATGATTTGTCAGACTTCTTTAGTACTTACTGATCTTTACTTGCTATTTGGTTTCAATCTACCTAAGAAGAGATCAGGTATAGGACTTCCTTCTTCTCTTTCATATAGTTTGTGCAGAGTGCAGTCATTTGTTCTGGCCTGAAAGTCTTAACTGGATCTTCAAATGACAGACTTTTCCCCAAAATGTATATCACATTCATCACAGATGCAGTGAGGTGTCATCTGCTTGGAGACTAAAAGTGTGAAGACTTAAAATGTGACTGTATAAGACCTAGCTGGAATAATTCATTTACATGTTACTTCTCTTCTGGACTAGTGAATATGCTTGAATTCTAAAGTGAAACTACTGCACAGATTTGTTTTCTACAGAGCACAGCTACTCAAGATTAGAAATGCTTTATATAAATCTTTGCATGTATATAATACATAGACAAGTTGCAGTGCTACTTTAGGCCAATGATTTTAATATCAAATAGTTACACCTATAGCTAAAAGCAAGCTTCAGTCAAAAAAAAATATTATCACAACTCCATATAGTGGAACTGATGATGCAGGTCCTATGAACATAACAAAATATCTTTCATGGAGAAGAGTCCAGCATGGGAGAAAAAAATTCAGATGCAGTCAAGTATTGCAGTTTGATAGGCAATTCAAAGATTGATTGCTATAGTTAATTTGTTTAAAAAATAAGAATGATGCTTACAATGCTGAAACACCCATGTTTCTTCATTTTCTCCATAATTCTTAAATTAAAAATACATGTAGTAAAAAATATCCCAATCCAACTATGTTCTAAAGAAATGTTAGCAAGTTTGTAAGCTCATCTGTGTATTTTTGTAGTTGTCACTAATTTACAAATACTACACCAACAGACAGTGATACTTAATCCCTGACAGAAAGGGATTGGTGAATTCTGGGCTCTTTTGTTATCTGTTTAAAAGAAGGATGAGATTAGATCTTCTGTTGCTAAGAAGTGAAACATTTTCCCAGATAACATACGCTCTAACAAAGACCTGTTTATTCTTATTAGAAAATAATGTTGCTGCTCATTTGATAAGTTTTCATTTCTGAATCCACCATGAAAGCTGAATTCAAGCTGCACCAGAAAAGGGCCAGAGCAGGACCCCCAGATGTAACATAATTAAACCATCTCCGTAGTCTGAAAGGAATGCAGGACATGCAGTTTTCTTACTGTTTGTCAAATTTGTTCATGAAGTCCAATGATAGAGATTCCAATCTCTATCTGTTTAACTATTCCTAGTGGTATTAAATATTTAGACGTAATATAGTCTTCCTTTTGATAGTCCTTTACATGAATCATAAAATGGCCTGGGTTGAAAAGGACCTCAAAGATCACCTAGTTTCAACCCCCCTGCTATGTACTGGGTCGCCAACCAACAGACCAGGCTGCCCAGAGCCACATCCAGCCTGGCCTCCA